TAGATAAGCTAATACTTAATCCAGGAGAGAACACAAACAAAACTTTCTTAATGTTGATATTCCTTATTTCTCCTGTTATGTTTATAGATGATATTTTGTTTTATCCATCTCTTGCAGATGATATGGATGTTTTAGACTTTTAGGCTTCTCTATTATTAGGTTATCTTCAACGAGGGATTCTTAGAATAAGAATCAGTTTTTTTTTGTCACCATTGGAGTATTGTGACATGAATATGATGTGTAGAAACTATTTTTATATAAAAATTCTCAAGAACTGAATCTTATCAATTAAAAAATATTTTTTATTATTCTTTTATTATAGTAAAAAGAAAGCTCCTAAATCTTAAATGATATTAATAGAACTAAAAAAAATAGATTAAAATTTAAAAATAGATTCTAGCACAGGAGATGCTCTAATATGCATATTTGCAATGTAATGGGATTGTCACGTCCCTAGTTGTATAGCTAATAACATCTGGAATTTGTATATTCCTGAATAGCAAATTAGAACCCAAAGTTGTTAGGTTTGAGTTACATCATGTTGAATCCTAGCATTAGCCTAGGTTTAAATAAATTATTTATTGGTTTAAATCGGACAAAATGGTTACAAGTAACGTTAAAAGAATACCAAGTTGCATTTAGAAAAGGTAACTAATTTGAGTTATTACAATATTTGGAAGCCCAATACAGAGATCAAACTTAAAATATGAAAACCTTGATGGGGACACATCATACATCAAAGTCAAAGCCACTAGATATAATTAATCAAACAATAAAGGAAGTGCAATAGCTAGGTTTGGACAAGGACTTATTGATCATATTGCAATCCACCAATAATGTTTGTTAACAATGGTATTGTCAGCCACAGTGCAAACATAATTTCTAGGGAAGTAACAAAGTTCAAATGCTGAAGACATGAAAATTCTCTTGAAAATTTCTAGCTATGCTTTATGTTGGGAACATGCAGCCACATCCAAATATCAGAATCAACACACAGAGACAGAGCTATGGATATTTTATATATAAGGTTAATTATTTTACATAACCATTCAGTGTTTTGTTAAAGAACGAAAATTTAAAAGTTGGTTTTGGTATATTGTGCAAGAAGGGAAACCCAAAATAAACTGGAATGTGCAGATGGTATAAAGACCATCATGGATTTACCAATGAATAAAACTGCATCTAAAGCTTTTGTCAAAAAGACAATTTTGTCCATCTTTTATTTTCTTGCATTTTCTTTTTCATATTGGGCTTCCTTGATCCCATTTTGGATAAAAATTAAAAAGAAACCAGACAAGTTTTTGGGCTGAGACGACTAGTCCATGAAAATTATTATTATTATTAAAATTAATTAATTATATATATATATATAAATAAATAAAAATGAATGGAAGTTGTTAGCCAGGTTACAAGAAATTGACATAGGTGAATCCAGAGGTTAAAACATTGACTTAATTTACTGTGCCCGTAAATAGGATAGAAGAAAATGATTTGGGGTTGGAAAAGATTTTGGGAGGAATGATGAAACAATTTGTTAGTGAAACGAGAGAGTTGAGTTGAAATCAGAAAGCAGTGGCAACAAAGAGATACAGAGAAAACAGAGAAGCACTTTTGAGGGTTAAAAGCATTTGTTTAGAACTTCTCTACCCAAAATAAAAAATATTTTACAATAAAAAAACCTCTCAAAAACACATCTAAACCTGTTTTAAAGAGATTTGTATACAAACTCAATCCAGTCCACTATCACGTTTCAACATGTTTTCTTTTTCCAGATATTGAGTAATAAAATATGCATCATTAACACGCTGTATTTTATAATAGAAACCAGAAGTGAAAGAATAAAAATAACAAGGAGTAAAGAAGTATGAGCAAATATTTTTTTTTTGTTTCATTCTTATTTTCTATTTTTTAAAGTTTACATATCTACTAGCTAGTTAGGTATAAGTTGTGGTCGTGAAAGCTATACGAATAGGAGTTTTCCTTCTTTCAGATCGATCTTCAATTGTATTTTAACCTTTTAATTTATGGGAATAAACTCCCTTTCCTGATCATGCAAAATCATCCTTTTTTTTCACGTGTTCAAAGCATTACTGATTTCCTGAAACCAGAAGTTTTGTTCATGAAAGTTGATTAAGTTTCCTCGGAGAGTGTTTTAAGATCAACACGAGAAAAATTTTTTAACATGAAGAGCACTTTAAGGTCATAGAAAAAGAAAAAATCTTTGATGGAAAGATGTTTTAAGATAAAATTTCCTTGGCGTGAAAAATGTTTTAAGATTAACACAAGAAGAAAAAAACTTTGGTATGAAGAACGCTTTAAGTTCAAAGAAAAAAGAATTCCCTTAACGTTAAGAGCCCTTTAAGATCAAAATAATAGAAGAAATTTTTTTGTATAAAAAGTGTTTTAAGATAAAATTTTATTAGCGTGAAAGATACTTTAAGGTTGACATAGGAGAAAGATGTAAAAAAAATACTTTAAGATAAAATTCTAATGATATGAAGAGTGCATTAAGTTAAAATTTCCATAGTATGAAGAGTGTTTTAAAGTCGATATAAGAGAAAAAATCATTAACATAAAGAATGTTTTAAGGTAAAATTCCCTTAAAGTGAAAAACACTTTAAGGTCAACAAATCCAGCATAATGTGAAAGACAACTTGAAAAAGACGTGAGTAGAAACAAATTGACCATTAAAAGATGTTGTAGGATTAGAAACAAATTGATCACTACACAAAAGTTGACCTGGAAAAGATGTGTGTAGCATTAGAAACAAATTGACCATCATGTGAAAGATGACTTAGAAAAATGTGCATAGAAATGGAAATAAACTGATTACCATACGAAAAATAATTCAAAAAGACGTGTAAGATTAGAAACAAATCACGCAAAATGCAACTTATTAAAGATAGGAGTAAGATCGATTTGCAATCCTCCACCACATGCAAAAAATAAAGAAATTACAGTTGTAGGGCAAGTGTATCATTTAAGGTGAATATTCTGAGAAGTCTCAACTAATCAACAAAATATGGAGAAGGTCACTTAAAGTTAGGGAGAGAGTGTATTATCTTAAAAATATTCTAAAAGACCTCAACTAATCAACAAAAAACGAAGAGAGCCGCCTATAACCTTTATACACCTTGTGCTAAAGGTTGGAGGGCAAATATACCATCTCAAAAATATTCTGGAGACCTATCCATTGTACAATGCTCAAGTTAGTAGTACGTATTTAAGGATTACCAAATATTTACCGAATTAGGAGATTTAATACAAGGATCAACATTAATGATGTACAAATTAAATGTTATAATGCAACACCATCCATTTCAATACTTTAGGATAAAAACTACAAAAATCATAGATTCATAAATATAAGATAAATAAGTATAAGACTTTGTTTCAAGGTTAGGACACCCTAAAACACACATTTTTGAAGTTTTAAACTTGGATAACGACGAAATCTTTTCTAATGTCTTTTTCATACCGAAATAGATTAGGATTTAAAATTACTGTAAATGGTAACAATATTAAATATAGATGAAATTTCATGATGATAAACATATTAGCTAGTAGTATTTATTAAAATATATAAATAATCGTAAAAGGGGGAGTAATATACTCATATATTTACAAATTAAAATAAATAACTTAGTAAAATTATTACTTTATGCACTCTTTCAATTAAATTTTTTTTTATAATATTTCATATCTCTCTCTCTCCTGGATGTACAATTTACACATTATTTTTGCAAGTTACTACTAAATTAAATATTTTCCCTATCAATCATCTCAAATTGAAAAGATAAAAATAAAAACTCAAGTTTATGTGTTATAGACAAAACAAAAATATAAAATAAAAAAATAATGACACATTACTAGAGATGACAAGTAGACCTGTATATATGTGAGTAATACTCAAAATATCCCAACTTTGATAAGACATACCCGATTTAATCGAATTCAAGTACGAGTAATATTTGTACATATACTTGTAACCATACCTATTTTGAATTTCTAGAAATGTGATTTTCTTAAAATTTATTTGACATATATTCTCTCTCATTCTATTTCTCTTTGTCTCGCTCTCACACACACAAACACTCTCACTCCCCCCCCCCCCCCCACA